AATTGATCAAGCCGTTTAAGAGTATCTATGGCAATGTCTGTTCCCGTGTCACAACCAAACATTGTGATACGGGGACAGACGTTGTCCTGTACACGTGAATTAAATCCGACAACAAGCTATAAATAAAAAAAAAACGAATTATCAATCTAAACATAGATTAGGACACATAAAAATTTTTATTAAAATCGGTCCAGCCGTTTAGGAGTTCTGTGTGTATGTCACACGCGTAGAATTATATAAAAAGATAATAAAAAGATGACGTTCCGTTATTTCAGATATATCAGGCCACAAATCATTGCAACAGGAACCTACCAAAGATAATTCGCGGGGCCGTTGAAATTATAATCCAATTTTAACAGGAAAGATGCTATTGATGGCTATCTTCAGCTGGAGATGTTATTATTAACGAAATCCTTAAATCTTTCGACACATTTCATCAAGTTTCATCTTTAGAGTAGACTAGCACTGAGAACAAAAAAAAAATAATCATAATAGTCGTATTATTAAATCCAAACTCAAGCACTCTACCCCTGCAAGACTTCAAGATACAATCTAAAATTACGAGTAAATATATCTTCTGGATTATTTCGTTTAAATCGTAAGCAAAGAATGAGATCTGACCAAATTGATGTCACGGGCATCCGCCGATAGAAGATGTAAACTTAAAGACATTGGATTGAAGTCGATGGACACAGCGGCTCCGCCTATTTTAGCTCCAGCGCTATCCTATCACTTTCCATTACTTTGACTGCTGTGTTTGTGCTGGCGATTCACCTGATGTTAAGTTTTAACCGCCGCCCATTGACAATTGCAACACCTGTAGGGTTGTAGATGGCTTGCCACCTTTTACTAGAGTGGGCCGCCTCACTCACCAGACGAAACGCTGAAGTGTAACAATTCTACTTCACGCTGGTCTTCTGTGAGGTCGTGGTACTTCCGCAGACCTGTCTATTAGTGCAACAGTCAAGTGCAGTGCAAGAGTGGCCCTATCGCAGTGACTAGCCTAGTCTTAACGTAGCCTATTAAATCTTCGTTGAACGCAGAGCTCGTGGGATATCCTACGAGCTGGTACGGCCCTGAGCGTTGGGTGGAGCGCATGTGCTGATGAGTTCATCACCTATGAGGAGGAACCTCACCTAGGGCCCATCGAGATAAGGTACGGTCCTACCTACCCAGCGAAAACTGTTACCGCAGCCTTTAAAATGGGCGTTTTAGCAGAATACGGTATTCGCGTAAAACAATACTTTACATATACGAGAGTATTGATAATCAAATCCACAAACGGAAACAGCGATACATTTTCCTATCTTACTTACGGAGCGAAATAAATTAATGCATCAGAGTAATCCACGTTTGAATTGTCCCCGCTACGATCGGCCGTGCATCTCTCGATACGACATTTTGTCCCGATGATTTTTCCGTTCCACCACACTCCCGAATGACTGCGTTCCCATTTAAGCAATGGCATTTCACGGCAGCGCCTTTGTCTTCGCAGTGGGAGAAGAAAAAATGGCGCCATTTTGTGATTTGTTTCGCGCTCTGGGGAGGCGATCTTTGTGCGCGCTTGCGTTTTAAGGGCGTTCTTCTTTATAATGATTTGTTTTATTGTTTTTTTTTCTCTTTTTTTTTTCAATCAAAATACATTGATCGCTTGAAGTATGCAATGTGTAGACGACGTCTTAATGACTAAGAAATTGATGTTGAAAACTGTATTTTGTTAGTCATTATTTTACAATAAATAGTTATAACAAAGCGTCAAAGCCATTTTTCAAGAATATTCCATTAAGCTTTTATCTACTTTTGTATTACCAATGCTCAGATAAATATCAGTTGCGACTTAATTAATTTCTTTAGTTGTGAAAGAAATATTTAAAATTTGAAATATCGAAATATTATTCCTTTTATTCAAATGTTAATTGGTTTTACAACGATAGGTTATTCATCCTAAAAATCTACCACAGCTCTAACCTGATGCGATCGTAAAAGAGACGTAAGCTATTTTATTATATCTACAGTTTTCTACAGAGAAATATTACTTTAAACGTTTTTAATCACAATGTATATAAAAATCGATAAATCAACATGGCGACTTTAGATTAAAAAAAAATTGTTTTTTTTTTTTTAAAAAGTCGCGTTCAATTTAAGAACCAACAAATAGCGAGAACCTTACCTTAACCGCGGCATTATTTCGCCATGCGCGATCGAACTTCTCCAAACGAATATGAAACTTTGTTAATCAAACTAAAAGGCGAGTGGAAACAGAAGAAAAAATCCAATAACACCGAAACTCATTAATATTTATTGGAAAAAACCGCCAGCGCGTCGAATGTTTAACAATATCTGTGCGATGTCAACTTAGCTGAAAGATACGGATGTAAACAAATTTAGATTTACCGCTGGATTTCGCTGAGACTAGCGATTTTGAACTCTATTCATTATGAGATAGATATAAAATAAATCTTAAGGGGTGTAAGAGAGATTTACAGAACGTGCTCTTAAAACCAACGTCGTTTGCGACAAAACAACACACTTGACTATTAAAACGCCTTTACTGCTTCGTAATAAGGTTCACAGTCAACGACCGCTGTATAACATACGCAGAAGCGACTTGCGGTTCATGATAATGGCATTTTTCATATTAAAAAGTTGTGGCGGAGTCTATCTATTACAATACAGTCCCCCGGCGGCTGGGAATGTATGTATTTGTGGTGGAAAAATGACGTTAAATAAATAAGATATATCTATTATCGTGGCTCGTCGTCGGCCGGTTTCATTTTTAACTGCTCGCTGAGGCGTGAAACGCTGATGCTTCGCGAATGTTGGGTTCAATACTTGATGTTTTAGGCTTCGGAATCTATTCTCAATGGTTTGTCTTATTTCAAATGTTTTTTTATACAAGGATGACAATTCTATTGTGAGATCTTTGCGCACAGGTGACACGGGACTTAATATGAAAAATGCAGATACTAAACAACCGGGTGCGAAACAATTTATGGACACATGACATGTTGACATGTAATTATTTACTATAAGATCGTATATATTATCATTATCATTATATTAATATGTGAAGCGAAAACTTTGCACCCCTATTTACAAGAATTACACGAGCAAAGGTGGAAAAATTTGTCACGGTTAAAGTTTCTATGGGGAATAGAAACTTTAACCTTTCTATGGGGGAAGAGTGCATAGAGCTAATATTTTTATATCATGTGCATTAGAAATAAATCTTGATACATAATTAAAATTAGCTTTCGATACAAAGCACAAAATTCATATCCTGGCCGAGACATCGGCTTGACATTTGTTCACAACATAGCTAGTGGACAGGCCGAATTTCCAACGGAAACGAAAAAAAAGCCAAAGTGAGGCGTCCGGGTTCGGCTAGTTAAATTAATTAAAAAATATTCATCATCATTATCATAATTTCCCCCTGTTAGAGTCCACCGCTGAACATAGGCATCCTCCACAGACTACCACGAAGCACGTTCCTGAGCCACCTAAATCCAACGACTTCCCGAACAACAGCACAGGTCGTCGCTTCATCTTGTGGAGGGTCGTCCTACAATGCGCAAAGAAATTGTACACATAATGTGTAGTACCTGGAGGACCGAGCTTTGCTCGTTTTTTTTTTTTGATAAATCATGCATTTTGGAAATAAAAAAATAAAGAAAATGATCTGGTATAGAAAAAAAACAAAAAAAAATAAGTGTGTAAATGACCGTGATATGAACCGCGGCCGTCTGTTTTGTCGGCCGATTACCGACCGAGCTATTATAACACAAATTTTTGCGGCGAAATTTACTGTCATATTCGAATGATAATTTTCATTCCCGGAAAACAGGGATAAAAGGACATTTTCTAAAAATGAAACCTAGCTAGATCGATTTTTCGCCCCCGAATATACGCACATACTAAATTTCATGAAAATCGCTGGAGCCGTTTCCGAGATCCCGATTATATATACAAAAATTACTCGTTTAAAGGATAAGATACGATAATTGTGTGTATAATTACTGTGGTCTACGCAATAGTGTTCGCTGTTGCCCGAATGGGCAGGTCCGTCCGGCTAAGTACCACGACCTCACAGAAGACCGGCGTAAAGTGGAAATGTTATACTTCTGCGTTTCGTCCGGTGTGTGCGGTAGCCGGGGCCCACTTTATTAAAAGGTGGCAAAGTTACCACCTGGTGGCACCTTACGGGTTGCAAAAGCCCATGGGTGGCGGTTATCACTTAACATCGGGTAAACCGCCAGCTCGTTGGCCACTTTCTCATATAAAAAAAATGTATAGAATCATATTTTTCAGTTCATATTGTTCATTGGTTGTTGTCATTATTTGAGTTTGTATCACGGGGTTATGATTTATAATTATAAGTTATCTTAAATCGAATTTCGAAGCAATCTCACAAACACTGAATTGTTTTATTTTAATTCATTAAAGACGGCATATAGGAATAAACTTGAAGTTCGTATTCGAAAGCCGTGATAGCTCGGTGTCCGGGCGCTCGCCTTTAATTCAATACACTCGAGCAACCCGAGTTCGATCCCCGGTGCCGGCACCAATGAAGTTTTAACTTTAAGTGCTGACTTATCACGTGCTCCGCGGTGAAGGAAAACATTGTCAATCCGCAGTGGGGCTGCGTGGTGGACTATGCCCTGATACACTCTGTAAAAGAGGAGGCCGTTGCCCAGCAGTGGGGTATGTATAGGCTGTTAATTTTTTTTGTATTCGAAACGACTTATTTACTTTTATAATTTAAATTTCGAAGCAACTCCCAACACTAGTCAGTCGGGAAGCCCGCGAATCCACCACAATATATGTAGCATCTAAGTAATCCGCAAATCCGGGCCATTTATCGATAAATACGTCACAGGAGTCACAGTCAACTATCGCAGAGCGGGCCGCTCAAAGAGAGGAATTAATCACCGGACAAATCACGAGCGAGCCAAGAAACCATCAAATAACCATTTCGAATTTTATGGGCGCGCCAAAACGAAATGCGGTCGAAGACGTCCTCTCCGCACGATTATCAACCTTACGCGGTTGGAATACGGACGCCGCGAGCGTTACCGGCGGCAGAGCTCGCGGTGCGCGATATTTAATCACCTACAAAGGGCTCAGCTGAGTTGTATTGCGCGTTTCAGGGCCTACACACGCTTATTCCGACTAACAAAAGGAGAAAAAAAGCAATCTTCCCAGATTGGCATTCGGGGGTCCGACGTCACAAAGGGCCCCCGCTCGGGGGAACATTGTTAGCGGGGATTGAAAGGAGCCCCCGTTCCCGACATGTTATTCGGTAATTTAGTGTTGCCGTGCCTTTATAATGGAGCGCTGATTGGGATGTAGGCTTCGGTCGCGTCTGTCGACGTCTAAACGCGCGGTCGACCATAGAGTAACTTTGTATACTTGAGATAGATACCAAAGAGTAACTTTGTTTACTTGAGATAGGGATACCATAGAGTAACTTTGTATACTTGAGATAGATACCATAGAGTAACTTTGTATACTTGAGATAGATACCATAGAGTAACTTTGTATAGGTACTTGCTGTCGACGGACGTCGCTCGATTGGTTTGCGTAATGGCACGTTTGAATTCGAGCCGCATTTTGATTGCATAGTGTCCGTATTGATTTAGTGCACGCGGAAATTGTTCTTGCCCTGTGTAAATAATGTGTAATAAAACTGTCATACGCATAAGTAAGCTGACAAAATTGCTTTGAACTCTCTGTTTATGCTCGATTGTATAGATACGATATCGTGTCTATATAATCGAGCATATAGGCCACTCACTCAGTCTGCCCCGTTACCATGTACGCTGTAAAGGGTTTGTAACGTCAGGAATTATAAACAAAAATAAATGCGATAAATCCGTAAACATTGAGGCCACTCAGATAGTTTTACGAAAAAAAAATGTCACAGCAATGTGAGGCCCTGGATGCTTATAATTATTTTAAAATTTTAATTATTCAAAAGAAAAACAAACATTGTTCGAATTTTAAATATCCCTCCGCATTTTTTTGGAAATAGAATTATCGTATCTCATATAAAACCTTCTCAGGTCCAGTGGCTTTTCATTTCCAAACCGGCAGTATCATTTTGGTGTCTGCGGCGGACTCGAAAATGGGTTCAAACTCATGAAACTTTGTATACAGCCTGTATAAGCTAATATTTTAGTACACATAACTTTTCGAGTGTCCGACGTAGAAGCGACTCGCATAGCTACTCGAAATAATTCATCATCATCATCGTTTTAGCCTGTTCTCGTCCATTGCTGAACATAGTCCACCACGAAGAACTACCTGCATCTCAACAGCAGACTGCTGTCATTGACTTTCCGCACATTTGGAGAGGCCGACACTACGATGGCCATCACTAAGTTACCACTCGAGAACCTTTCTTCTCCATTCGGTTATCGGCATATCTCCTACTTCAATATCCCCCAAAACAAATATCCATCATTAATAATCAATTGTACATTGAGTGTTGAAAACATGCCTAACAATTTGCTCTCCTGGTTGTTAATGCTCTAGTTAAAATCTTCATAAAGAAAATGTATTTGTCTGCAGTGTTTCTTGCCAATTTTGGGATGATCAAGAAATGCGTACATAACAATTAGCAAACTTCAGTAATTAGCGAGATTCGTTAGGAGGAAGAAAAACAAGTAACAAGGTTTACACTACTCGTATTTATATTTAAACTATGTTGTCCTCACCTCAGCCAACTACAAGGACCGCTTGAAAACTCATCCAAACCCATTATCCAGCATGCTCCTGCAGCCAAATCCGATTAGAAGACTCAGGAGAACTGATGTGCTGCCTTACTAAGGAGAAATGGAGCAGTGGCTTCACCTCGCCAAACTCCAACCTCTTACAACTCATCTGGTTATAGTTTACTAGCTGACCCGGCAAATGTTGTTTTGCCATATTAATTATTTGTAGGGTAGAAAAAAATGTTTGAGGTGGACAACCCTTAACATTTAGGGGAATGAAAAATAGATGTTTTCGGATTCTCCACCCTAGGGCGATATGCGCACAAAATTTCACGAAAATCAGTCGAGCCGTTTCGGAGGAGTTTAAATGCAGGTCCTATCAACTCGCTGTGTCCAATCTCGTGCAAGTCGATTCTTCATTTAACGGTGGACCACGCAGCAGCCTCGGCTGTTGCACGAATGGGCAGGCTCGTCCAGGTAAGTACCACGACCTCACAGAAGACCGGCGTAAAGTGGAAGTATGACAAATACTTTCGCGTTGCGTCTGGTGACTGAGGTAGCTGGAGCCCAACTGCAAACCCTCGGGTGTAGCAGATGTCGATGGGCGGCGGTATTCACTTAACATCAGGTGAACCGTCTGCTCGTTTGGCAACTTTTCACATAAAAAAAAATAATAAAGCTGGTGACTTCTGTCTGGAATACTTCTAGGAAGCAGTTCACAATACGGCTCAGAGACTTTACCAGTCATTAAATGCAACCCCCATAAACTCGCTCAATTCAATCTCGTGCAAGTCGATCGATTCCGAATCTAGAATACTTCTAGGAAATAGTTCGTAGTACGGGTCCGTGATTTCACCAGGTGTATTTAAATGCAGCTTATATCAATTCGCCGAGTTGATTTCGATCCGTGGAATGCGCAGTTCGCGCGTAACCTAGTATCGGGATGGATATCATTTTTTAATGGAAAACGCCCCCAAAGTGAACGCGTTCGAGCGGAAGCGCTCGCCCCGTGAAAAGAGCGGATTCTTCGACGGTTTATAAAAAATCGGTAAATTGAAATTTAAACATCAAAAAGACAGAAGGCGCATCGTGCTATTGCGTCCATTCATTTCGAAATTACAAACGCCGGGGCGAATTTGTAATCGGAATCGGGGCTAGGGTGGCCAGTTACGACGTTTTTAACGGGACAATTTCCAGAAAAACATTCTCTTTATTATGAAGTTTAAAGATTACAAGCTCTTATACTTTATATATTTTGGCGCAAGGCTCCTAGGTGCGAGTACCTCACGGCACAAGTAAATACTCGAGACAAAAGTTTGAAATACGGGACAAGTAAATACCAGATCCTGGACAATTATCGGCCACACAAATGTGGTTGTTTGCTCCCAAGTAGACCAGTCGTAGTAAACTTAGACTAAACCCACCATCCACATGATATAAGGGTAGGCGAAAAAAGACTATCTATACTACATATAATGTTCAGGTTAACATGTGCTTGTGTTCCTTTCACGAGACAGTGGCTAAGCAGTTTTGAATGAATAATTCAAAATGATCGACCGAAAATCGTTACTTCTCAGAAGACTCGTTTGTGGAGTAAAAGGAACGGACTAGGCGTTAAATCGAGACTCTATCTGACATATCAAACAATTTTGCCTGTCAAAACCCAGATTCTGAGACACGTGCATTCCTACACACCTAAGTCGACTATATATGAAACTGCGCATTGTTAGTTAAAAAGAAGTATGCGTGTACTTAAGTACGCACTAAATAAGTTATACTTCTTTAGCGTAACAAAAGAAAAAAAAAAGGAAAATGTTATCCCCGCATCAGTACTCTTTGACATTAAATGAAATTGATAACGGTTTAATTTAAACAAAAAAACTTGCAATTACAAGTAAATTTCAAAAAGTTGCTATTGATTAAGCAAAGCAAGCAATTTCATCATGTCTTTTTTTGACTATTGACGTTTCCAAACACGCCAAAAGAGTATGTAAATAACTACAAAAAATTAATGATATTTTAACGTCTAACTCAGATTTTAATCCCCTACGTTTCGAACACTATACATCGCACGACCATTAGTTTCGCCTAACACAATGCATGTAATTTTTACATCCCTTGCTGATTCTAACATAAACTTTCATTACATCCTGGGTTGACTAGTAGATGCCTTTGGGTATTAAGTCCGCCCTTTGTTACCTTTTTTTTTCTTAAGGTTAGCGATTAAGCATAAACAAATGCTGTTACAAACGCAGGCTAACTCCTTTCCAGAGACCATTAGTAACAGTCAACGCTGCTCCAAACGAGGGTCAGTTGGTCGATTTCGGGCACTATCCGCGGTGCTCCGAAGTCGTGGCCACCCGAGCGGAGGACGCGTTCTTCGGGAGGCTCCAATTTGTCTGATTGACGCCGGTGCTACGATATCAAAACGGGCGGCCGCTCAAAGACCTACAGTGCTGCGTTGCGTTACAAGGGCCCGCAATGGGGCGTGAAAGCCGGCGACTGGGCTGTGTGCTTTGTGCACTAGACTAGCTCACGCCGTGGCGATGCCTCGTCCAGTCATACTATCCCTAGTGAATTTGACACGACCTTTGTGACTATAGTGTCAAAGTTTTTATTCTTTTTATGTGTGGCAATCGAGCTGGCGGTTTACCTGATGTTAAGCGATAACAGGCGCTAATTGACATTTGCAACACCGGAAGGGTTGAAAATTCGTTGCTACCTTATGATGGAATGGGCTCCGGCTGCCTCAATCACCACGCGAAACGCAAAAGTGTAACACTTCCACTTTATGCTGATCTTCTTACTTCCACTTCTTCAGGACTGTCTTCTGTGAGGTTGTGGTACTTATCCGGATGGAGCTGCCCATTCGTGCAACAGTGAAAAATGTTGCGTGGCCCGGCCCTACCACAGTTAATAATAATAATAAATAAAATAAATATTTTCGGACACATTCTTTTTACACAACGTTCTCTAGTCCCAAACTAAGCAACACTTGTACTATGGGTACTAGAAAACTAATAGACATACTTAAACATACTTTTCTTTTGTAAATAAATACATATTATACGGTCAAGCGATAGACGGTTTTGGGGTAGAGAAATGTATGGATGGATGTATTTGAAATTGTTTGTCTGCTGTAAGGGACATAACAACAGATGCGCCAAGCGTTGCTTAAAATGTGAAAGAACAAAGTGGATGAGATACATTGAGATTTTAGTGTACGTGGCAATCGGCTGTTTACCTTAGTAGCTGAAGCGTCTGGGAGCGATTCTGGAAGATGTGGGTTCGCTGTGGACCGCTGTGGTGAAAAATTTTTCGTCCGTTTTTCTACAAAATTTAAAAAATGTGCGGTTCGGAGTGCATTTATTGTCGTTAACAACGCTATCATAATGATATTGGAACACTCTCTCAGGTCTTATGGTGTTGAACTTCTGTGGGAGGTGGTTACTTACCGTCAGATGAATCTCTTGCTAGTAATCAGCCTTCTCTCATGAAAAGAACGATTCTCAAATCTATCTAACGTGGCAAATTCACAGTCAGATTTGCCTGATGTTACCAGAGCCTTAGGAAACCAGGAAGTGTTGTAATTTTACTTATCGTTGGGTTAGTTAGGTAACTGTTGCCTGGCCTTTTAAAGGTTAGCAGTTAACATGTTGTAACGTCCGTCCATGCAGGCTGCTAGATGGCAATAATAAATATTTGGAGAACAACACAATGAAAAAATCAAAGTTTTCTTCGAAACAATAGATCGGACAGCACTTGAATGCTATTTTGATTATGGCAATACTTATATGGCAACATGTTTGCACAACGGCGACTAGCTGAAATTTTACTAGACGGAGTTCTGCTTCTTTAATAGTAAGGTGCCAGTATCAAGTAATATTCAAACGACAGATAATATTTCAATGCCTTTATATTTTTGCGTAATCATTAATTATTAATAAGGGGGGTGAATAAATTCTTCGATTATAACAATTTCAATCCACTTCGATGAGGAACATAAAAATCTGGAAAGCGATGTTGCGACGGACATTGCAACAGATATAAATAAAAAAACCGAACAAGTGCGAGTCGGACTCACGCACGAATGGTTCTCTACCATTATGTATATAAATGACAAAAAATCATGTCTGTGGCATGGGAGCCATACTTAAATATTTTTTATTCTGTTTTTTAGTATTCGAAAAACAGTACAAAACATTTAGTACAGAAATATGTCATCTGTGAAAATTTCAACTGTCTAACTATCCCTTATGAGATACAGCCTGGTGACAGACGGATAGACAGACAGACAGCGTAGTGTTAGTTATACCGTCTCGTTTTTCCCTTTGGGTACGGAAATATTTTTTTTAGTTGTTGTCAATATAAAAACTTTTGAATGTCGTTTCATCTGTAATTGAGATACCATTTAGTTTAAGATACTATGTACTTATTATGATCTAAGCATGTTTTGATGTGTATCTTGTCGCGAAGTAAATAAATTAAAAAGACCCTAAAAACATCTTTTGTGCACTTAAGTACACACAAAGTTATACTTTGGCGTCGTAAAATAAAGATGACCACGAAAAAGAAACTCATTTTGAATATGTTGTGGTTTCAACACATTACTGATGTTTGACACATTACTAAAGGGGGTTTATCCACTACCATCGTGTAACATGTTGTCTATTTCATGTCGTCTACTGCCTTTATTACTGTATTAATTTTATGTCGCTGTGCCGTATCCCAGAAATTCACTGTCATCATATTTAACATTTCAAAATCTCCTTCACTTACCGTAAACGTAAACGTACCGTAAACGCATCAAGAATCCCATTCCCAACATCCTCAGCGAATTCAATGACGGCTTCGCCTCAAAGCAGACCATCCGTTTCACTTAGTGTCGACTTCGGACAATGGAGTAGCTCGATGGGCTTAGCCCCCTTTGCGATGCCATCGGCCGTTGTGACGCCGTGACGCATCCTCATCACCTTTGTTGCGACACTAGAGATTCAGATATTTGCTAAATCAGTGGACACATTACTAAATGGAACCATTTGATACAGCAACGATTCTATCGCTTCTCGTTGATTTCAGTTAAATATAATTCAACCACGAAACTGAATGATTTCCTGTATTTATACATGTGCGAGTTCGTATCGCGTGTAATTTTTTTTAGAATTCTCGTTGTTATAAAAATGGAGAAATATGCGCGAAGTAAATAATGGTCATATATACTCGAATTACATATTTTAATACTAAAATAAATTAGTTACCGTAGAAGTATTTTAAAATGAAATAGTAAGCTAACTAAATTAACAACTTTTGAAAATTACTTAAAACTAAAAAGCACGTATATTTAGCAGTTAAACAAATTTGGAAAAAAACACACATTAGCAAAGTATAAATACGTATTTTTAAAATTTTTGGCAAACGTCAAAAAACATTTTTTTGACTGGCACATAACGGAATTAAAATTAAAATTATATACGGTATTATGGTTTCGCGTAAAGTAAGGAAAACCCATAAAAAAGATTCAAGTTATTTGAACTGTTAAATGGTTGAACTTATGACTTATGTTTCTTTTGGCACCTTAAATAATTTTGATCCCGAAATCAAAGAAAATGCGTCAATTGTTTCATTGTAATCGTAAATATTATCTTTTAATTAATAAAACCAAGTGAAACAGAGTAAATAGCTTTCCTGTTTTTGGTAAATAAATGTATTTTCTTTCTTTCTTCGTTTATTGGTAATTACGGTCACGGTGTATTGTTGCGGACGAAAAAAAAATTTTTGTTGAATTTAGCCGCTTGCAGCTATTTCAAAATAAAAATTTATATTTGAACGTTTTGAAAAATAAAAATTATATTTGAATACCTACGTACCTGTTTTACATCCGAACGAATCCGGGCGTTCCAAATTCAAAGTGCGTTAGCGGGCCCCGATTGGCGGGCGATACGGGCTCGCGGGCTCGCGACCGTCCGGGACTTATTCGTCGTGATTAAGAGACGGCTGATTAGCGCTCCCTTATAATTACTTAAAATTTACTCCGCTCCACTTTCTTGCGACTTGTCCCGGGTGGGAACGTTACGATAGACTACTGTGGATACGGCCCTCGAATTGTGTATTTCGGAATGTTAATGTTGTGCGTGTAGTAATAAGATAGAAAACTCAACCGTATTAAATATGTTTATTTGTATAACGTTCTCACATTTGGCAAATGTAAATAAAGCATAATTGTAAATGTCTATTGAAATTGCACGAATTTTGAAAAAAAATGTAATGTAATGTAACATAATTATGTATTTTAGCCTTAACAATCTTTAGTATTGCTTTGCCCTAACATGATGATTCCTAGTTTTAAGTTTCACCAAACAACTGTGGAATTGCAAATTTTTATATATATAATTCTTCTGTATCTGTGTATGTCACTGAACTCCTCCTAAACGGCTGGACCGATTTTAATGATAATTGTGTCTTCAGGTGGATTAGATTCACAAAGTTGTTCAAAAAAGTTTGATATTTTCGAATTTAAGACGCGTGTACAGGACAGCGTCTGTCCGATCCGCTAGTCTAATATAAAATAAAGAATTATTTTATTCTTTGCCAAATCAAACAGTTTTACCGATTTTTTGACGTCTAATTTTGCTTTTAAATTCCCGCCTTTTCGAACACTGCTGCGTCCATGTCACAGGACGGGTTTAAGTTTCGTCCTATAAAATCATAGCAAGTCTAAATAAGCTCACTGTATAGCAATGTTACAAACTTGAGTTGAGAAACGTTATTGAATATTTTTTTTTTATATATGTAGGTATTTGTCAACAGTAACTTTTTTGATGTTTGCAAAAATGGCTCTTGGCGGTATAGTATTCGGCGATTAATATTGCTCGATATTAGAAAAGAGACAATCATCTAATTGCGCTTTCGTACTGACAAAGATACATCATACATCATGAAACGTTTGTCAGTCTTTGTACAAGTGTGGGACAGAGACGAAGATAACGGTCTACGAAGCCGAAATTAGCCGTCTCTTTCCAAAGATCGATGTGGCATACTTATCGCCGAGTACTGTTAAAGCCTTCTTTCTTGCTTTTGTAATATTAATACTATATTGTATTCACTTTTATGGTGATTTATGCTTTTTGTCTTCATTAAAGATTGATGGAGACGCCTCAAGATGATAAACCTTGGCCATACAACTTTTGCTGTTGCAAGAATGGGAATTCGTCAGTATTACAGTTTTTAGTTTCGTCTGTGGGTGAGTGAGTTAATGATAAGAATGCTTGGCGATAAATACTTATACAATGCCACGGTATGGGCGATAATTCGATGGACGAAAACTCGACGCTGAGTCCCTTTTGTCCTGGTCAATCACCGTTAAGGGGGCCACTCTACGCTCTCAATTACGGAATGCTCTA